TTCCAAAAAAATGGTTTTTTGGAGAAAAATTTATATCTGAGATTATAAGACCCCCTTAAAACAAGTTGTTGAGTTTTCTATGGATTTATACTAGTAGTTCTTGTTCGAAACAGCAGTTGGCATATTTGCCATCGAGAGAACCGACTGTTTTCCATGGAGCCAGACGTAATTACTCCGGCTTCCGTAGGAAAGCCCAAGTCATGAAATGCAAGTGTTTTGGTCGCCAAAATGGGGGTCATAGTCCCAGGCGTTCCATGCGTAGACCATGGAAACTGGGAACGAGAAACGCGATGTATACAAATCTCTTGACAAATAAAAGGTTCCTAAAAAAGAGCTATGAAGATGGCGTGTGGTGTAACCGATATGATTCGCATCGCACGAATCACATTTGAAATTGTAAACAACGTATTGGTGGTTGATTAAAGCAGGTTTCTCTTTCTGTATTTTAAACTTTTCCTCGATCTTGCGACTTGTGAAGACTGGTTGTAGGTAAGTTCCAATTTTACTGCCAAGATCCTTCAGCTGTTGTCTTGCTGTGTCGGCCGATTTTTGGTCTTTAAACGGCAAAGTTATCCTGACGGTTTTTGGTATATCCGCGTCAGCTTCAGTTGGAGTTTCATGACGGCCTTGGGTCGCAGAATGGAGATCGCCGACAACAACAAGCTACCATTCCTTGGTATGATGATCGAGAAAAGAGGTTGCCATCGGACAACTAGCGTCTATCGAAAGCCAACAGATACGGGACTGCTCCTGCATTACCATAGCCATGTCGATCACCGTCAAAAGAGATCTCTACTGAATACCATGCTAAAACGAGCGCATAGAACCTGTCATCAACGAGGGAATCATTTACAAATGAATGCGAGCGCCTCAAGCGGATATTTACAAAACTCAAGTACCTGGCGAATCTCGTCAAATCCGCTATCGTCACGTACAAGAATTCTGCGACCCCAGGCCGTCAAGAAACTCCAACTCCAACTCCAACAATTAATTATCAAATGTATTTCGAAATGTTCTCTTAGTAAGTATTCCACCGAGAAAATGGAAACCGCGTTTTCTACCGGTCGTAAAAGATTTTTATTGATTGACAGCTAATTTACGTTTACTCAAAACTTCTTTTTCGCTGGATGGGGACACTTTGAAGAGTTACAACTCAAAGGCGATTTGTCCGACTTCAGTCAAATCTCCAACAAAAGTACGTGGCGGAATTTGTGAACTCTAAAACTTATTTCGTTGTGATTCATTTTGTGCGATCACTCTGTAACATTTTACAGGAATTTCTGTACCTTTTGAATGTAGTCGAACGAATGAAACTCCGAACACCCTTTTTAAGCATTTGGAGTCATGACCTCGAGGAAAACTTAATATATTTCCCAAAATAAAAAAAAAAAAGTCATGTCGCGTTGGAAATAAAAAAGAAATGATTTGAACCTTCCAAACCTTTTGAATAGACAGATCTATAATTGTATATGGGGCTTAGAGTGTCTGAGATAAAATCGCAAGTCGTTTAATCCGTTGGACTGGACACACCCTTGAAGGTACACGGTAACCTTAACTTTAAATTTATTTTATACTACAAAACTTTTTTAACCGGAGAATTTTTGATGAATTTCAAAAGCAATACTACTCTATCTTTCATGACGCTTTTTAATAATCGTTAGGAGTGAGCTAAATAATTAATCAAGACGACAGTAAAAAAGCAAAACAGTCTTTAAAAAATCGATCACTAAACAATAACATGATAATTCTTTTGTTCACCTCTCGTGCAATGAAAACCTGTATAACCCGGCACACAGTCACAATGATATTGATCCTCTCCGTCATTTGGGATGCAGCTGCCGTTATTTTTGCAGGGTTTCCTTGAGCAAGGTGACTATAGTAAGCAAAACATAATCGTAATAGCATTGATGTAACAAATATCTACGACAAAATCAGAGATGTATAAATATTGGACTGTATAAAAGTCTCCAAAACCAAGCACCACGCGTATTTACATTCTCTATATCAAGCCTCAAACTTTGAGAAACTTTTTCATTCAATACATTATTAATGACGGCTGTTAGAAATTTAAGGAAAGACTAATAGTTTAACTTAAGTCCCTGTAGTATAGGCTCGTGGATCACCTGTTTATAGAAATTGAAATCTTTTGCGTAATAATTTCACATTTTCTTCCGATAGCAGAGCAAGATCTCTGTTGTTCTGTCGAGCTTCAAAAACGATGTTTACTTGATAACGCCAAGAGAAAACTTGCATTTAATTCTTTCCTCTGAACATTACACCATTACTCGTTTTGTCAACATATATCGTAAATTTAACTATTTTGCCACTTTAATTTCTCTCCTTTTCTCTACAAAGAGAACATCTACCTTAATACATATCATTGCTGGTAAAATAACTCTACCCAATTGTGGCTGAATGTTATATTTAACTGGATTTCAAATTCTCACTTACCTTAATGCTGTAATGGTGAAACTGTTGCGAAACGATCAGTTTGTCAGGACTTCTGAACATGTCTTCACGTAGCAGCTCGCAGCGAAGCTTTCCATTTTCGTTTGGTGACAAAGCAATGTTGAACGAAACACAGGGCGCATTATCAACACAAGCGAAAGCGCACTCATCATCTTGAACTACTTCACAAGAAGAGTCTAAGATGGATCCTTGAAGATGCTGAAACTTGTGAACTACAAAATTTAGGTACGACACCCCGTGTTGAAGACTAGATCGTTTCAAACTAGGATCACCTTGAATGAAAAGTTGATCGCGCTTGCCTGTAACACACGGAAAACGGAGGAGAAAAACTGTAAATAAAAAATGAAACATTTCTGTTCAGCAGAAATACCGTGTCAACGAGAAAGATGTTCTTCAATTGGATATATATTATTTATGCACCATTTCTGTTCTATAAGGTAAACTCAAAACGCCCAAAGAAAGAATCGATCGACACGTCAATCAACCAATCCGATTTGATACGTCATTTCATATTTCACTTCATTTTCTAAACGAGACCTGCGGTAAAACCTTTGATATGGAAATGAGTTTTGGTTAGACAATCATTTTCATTCAAATTAAACAGATGTTTGCGTTAGACATAAAGAGAATATACATGAGAACTTGGAGATAGCAAAAAAAGAAAATTCTCACTGATAGTGTTTAAGAGTGGGCCATTAAAGAGAAGATGGAATTCGCGTTCCTAAGAGGTCAACGGCCATGTAATGTCCTGCTTATTATGTAGAGGGTTTAGATGACTTACTGGAATCTTCAGTTAAAATTTCGGTCCATTTCTCAGCCATGAGTTAAAAAGCGTGTCATTTCTTAGCTAAGACTTTGCTCAACTCTCAGCTATCAGTTGAATTCCATATAGGTCCTTTATATAGATAATGATGAAAGTTTTAAAGTTTTCTCTTCGTTATATATAATTATTATATGGCT